GACAGGAGGGCTCAATATTAGAGGCTATTTATCTTATTCCAGGTGGGCTCTGATTTTTACTCTGAAAAAAGTTATTGAATCACGAATGATACTATTTCTGCAAAGCCTCACTGGCCTAAGTCACTTTTTGAGTGAATAATCTCACTGGAAAATTCTTTGTGTCAATAAACATTTTCAAGATTGAGTATACTCTATACGTGAGAACTTGTGGCTGTTTGCAGAAAGAATTTGGAAACTGGGAGTTCTGAAATATGCTGAAAATATGAAAAATTTTATTTCATAGATTGACTTATGAGTATTTCCTATAATACTAGTTAAAGTTGTTTGAATTACTTTTAATGAAATAATTTGTAAGTCCAAACCAAGGTTGCTATTTAGATAAAGTTGTACTTATTTAGACAGGCTTGACAGGCTAAATTTCTCTGGCAAAATTAGACAACAGAGAAGATGCTTTCCATGGTCATTGCAACTTTTATGTTGGTGGATTTTTTAGCAAGTTAAAGACAGGATTTGCTCTAGAATGTTATAACAGTATCCTTTTATATACCAACGGATTTTTGTTTGGTTATCTCTTTTTGATTTTAGGATAGATTTATTAGTTAGAGTATGGTTATGATTCTCATTTTCAGATGGCAAAAGAAACTTCCTTCTCCTCAGTCACTTCTCCTGGACTGGTCCAATATGTTGCTGCTCTGAATTGTTTCAAGCTTTGCTTCATTAAGGATTTAACATGGCCTTAATTCAGCCATCTGTTATGGGTTTGGCAGACCAACAGATCTGAGGTACTGGTCAGAGCTTTAGAAATTTCCCACATTTTTAAAGGTTAGGAAGAGAGCTACCTTTATGAATAGATTTTGAATAATTCTCAGCAAGACAATGGTGCAGAAGTGGGGTAAAAAAATGTGTGTCATTCTCTGAAGCACGGGGTCCCCTGTCTGCCTTTAGCTTGGCTGAAAGGCAATTAGCATTTCAACCAGCCAATTTGGTTACATGCAATGAAGTACTTGGGTTTGTAATTTGCTGCTCTCCGCTTGGTGCTGTTGAGAACTGGCTCTGTGTAATCCTCTCAAAGCACCTTTCTTTCCAGCATAGTTATTGTTGCTGGTCTTAAATAACTAATCAACAAAGAGATTTCCTTGTCTTGAACTACAGGGTGCCTTAGAAGAACGAAAAGAAATACCCAGTTAATAAGGGAATGATTATAATTATTAAATAGTGATTATTAAATTGTGACATAGGTTAAAAGGTTTAGAAAGCCAAGGAAAGCACAATACATGGTAAAGGTAGTGTGAGAAGTCTTTGAACCCAAACAATTTTTGCTTGGGGAGTTTTTTTCACCACATAAATACTTTATCATGTGTTTTATTTAAAAATGGATTGCCCAGATTTAAGAGATTAATTTGCTGTATAGATTAGAGTGAGGGCCCTACGCTAATCACCTGCTCAAAAATGATACAAATACATTTTTACTTCTACAGAGAGAAGTCTTTAGGGGGTCTTTGTAAAATACAGATCCATAAAAAAACCAACATTCTTTGCTGCAATCTAATAAAAAATTAATACCTTTAAAATGCATTGAAGACATGTAGAAATGAAGCTTGCTTTGATATTCATCTTAAATTTAATACATATAGTTGATACAAATTTTCATGTTTAATAATGCGTTTTTATGAACTAAAGAATAACTCACTGACATAATTATTCTAATAATTAGGCAACGAGTTAAAATTCTGTTTGGCTCATACATGCATGTTAACTTGTAAGAATCCACTGTGGTTAGCAATAATTCTTTTGTTGGTATACCTGAAATAATGCCATCTAATCCCCACCATGAGGCTGCAATTTACTGTTCTATACCCTACAGATTTATTTTCTTGCAAGATTGTTATGCATGAAGCGCTATTGCAAAACAGGTTGTTATATTTTTGTTATTAAGTATGAGAAAAATAACCGGTACATTGTAGAAGCCCATAATTAATTTTTGTAATATATGCTATTCATTCAGGCTGTAGTACTTCATTCAGGACAAGTACTTGGTATTTGGAGCTACGGTAGTTTTGTCCTCAGCTCACAAGTTCTAAAAATACGTGAAGTAAAAGTGTTGAGGCCATGTGAGAAACCGCCAAAAGAAATACAAATGGAAATTATTGTGAAACTTCAGATCTTTACTGAAGTGGAATAAATGGGTGTTCCTCGCTGAAGCCTGCAGACCTTCCTCAGGTGGACTTCTGGTTCCTTATGTGCATGAGCCTGATCTTCAGGTGTGCAGTTACTTCTACAAAATAAGCATGAGCTGGGAGCGCTAAGCGTCTTCATGGTTGGGTTGTTGGGATTTGGGTTTTTTCTTTTTTTTTTCTTTTGTTTGTTTGTTTGTTTTCTAATTGGCTTGCTTTTTTGTGCAAGAAACCATTTCAGAGAGCGTATAAGTGCTTACAGTGTCTCAAGCCCTACTTGGAGCTGAATGCCTAGGTAAAAAGCTAGACCCTGGTTCTGGAAAATCCTGTAAAATAATTTCTATTAGTGAAAGATGGCTGCTGTTTTCATTAGAGCTATATCGGTGGAAAAGGATTTCCAGTGTGGAGCTGAAAACGAGATTGACCTTTTGCTTAAACATAGAGTATATGCCAAGTGGAACTATTCAAAAATAATATGTTGGATTTTTACAGCATGTAGTCAGAACTATAGAATAGTTCTAGAAATATAGAATAGAATATACGGATAGATTCTCATGAGTTGCATGAGATAAATTAGAAGTCTGCAGCTGAAAACAGTGTTGTTTCATTGGTACAAATTGAAGCAGATTCTTACTGGTGTGTATCTTATCATTGTTAATTAGCAGATTGCAGACAAAGTTTATTTACATTAGACTCTGATCTTTGTTCTAAATATAAAGTAACCTTAATAATGCCAAGTCGTTTCACTGGAGGTACTCTGGGTAAAAATAATCTGGGTTTTACTACTAGTCAAAATTATTGTCTGGTTCTCTGTTTGACCAGCAAATTATAAGGTAACTGCAAACATTTGCAGGAGAGGTTTGTGTTGTCTCTGCTGGCTGCTAGCAAACAGAATTGGTGGGTTCAGCACTGCTTGGGAGTTTTGCCCTTTATTCCCTGCTCAGAATGAGAACAGGCAGAGCAGGCAGCTGCCTCAGAAAGCCGTTAGCATTACCTGGCTTAAGAGAGAAAACTTGCGTCTCCAGTGATGATTACACGCTTTAGAACTTTAAATTTAAGGGTATGGTTTAGATCCACTCACATTCTTCTGAGGAAGTGAAAAGAAGCTGCCAGAAAACTTCAAGGGGTACTTTAGGCTTATGATACGTTTTACCTCTCAGTGACCTCTAGTAACAGGATGAGATGATTTGGATTTCTCATCAGGCCTCTGTCTTGGCCTCGGCTTGCAGATTTACCACTTCCAGTATTGGTTCCTGGCTGTGACGACACATTTACCTTTCTAACTAGTAAATATAAACATGGCAGGCAGCTTGTGCATCGTTTCTTCCTTAGGATAAAATGTCTCAGTTGGAAGGGTGCGTGCCTTTCTCATAGGAATGTAGTTGAATAAGCAAGAATTTTCGTGTGGAGATGTTGGTAAGGTTACATTAGATTGGCCATGCCCAGTGATACGTGTGGTCACAGATAATAAGATTTTTTTAAAATATGGCAACGGTTAGAAAGCAAATGATCAGGAGAGTCATTGACTGATGTCAGTGTCATTAATCTCAAATGCAGGTAAATCTCCTTAGCACCTGAGGTTGCACTGTCACGGCAGCAGTAGCGAGTAGGTAGGTAGCTGAGCCTGAAAACTTTAGGACAGTGAAAGCTGATCAAGGGATTTTCAGCACCTAGTAACCTGCGTTTGTGCTTTGTCTAGCACTTTCCGATGTTAGTCATAAGGAGGGGGATGGTGGGCATGTACCTAGAATGTCTTTGCGGTTAAGAGGGAGACGAGACCCTAGAGAAGAGCTGGGAGCACGGGCATCCAGTGACACTCAATAATGTACGTGGGAACGGGTGAGGCAGACTCTTGCCCCAATGCTGCAACTGTTAGTGCAGCACAGGGGTGCAGATAAAGACGTACTTGTTGGGACTTACTGTAATTCTCCTGCTTTATCTACCCTGAAGCACGTTGCAGGCAAAAAGGGGGATATAGGAAGATATTATTTTGAAATAATACGTCTGGAACACTCTCTTTTCCAGTCTTTACTAGGGTGAGAGAGTTACTTATCCCACACCTAAATGAAAAAGCTCAAACCAAAAAAGAAACAGCAATCAACCGGACAGACTGGGGTAATCCCCACTACCCAGATGCTAGGTGTTGCAGACATAGCTCTTGTGTCCTCCTTTGCATATCTGTGAACTGCGGGAACTTTGAGGCAAAGAAAACCCCAGTATGAAATAAAAAACTTCTCTCTTAATTTGGCATCATGACAACATAGAAGGGAGAAGTTTAGTAAATCAAAGTTTTTATAATTGCCATAAACTTGTAAATTTCAGTGGTTCTGAGAATGCCAGCATAAAAATGATGAAAATAATGCAGGTTTTTAATATGTTTCTACCACAGGTGCAGCAAGGGCAATGGCCTTGTGAAATTTCTTGCTCTGTGCTGTTCCTGCCTACTACAGAGAATCTTGTCTTTACATATGAAAGAGTACATGTATCTCTCCCCCATTGTATTTGGCCAGAGATGCTGCCGGGTGCTGACATCTCTGCTGTGAATAGACTTCTCTCTGGCAACCATTGAGAGCCCTAACACTGTACTTAATGCAAAGTACGAGGCATGCCAGTTTTTGAATGTTCTACTTGGCTGGGTGTTTGTAATTGCTGGGAGTAGACAAGGACAGGCAGTGAAAAGTGCACTAGGCTTTACGCTGGCTGCGCTGTATGGTGTCCGCTGTATGGTGTCCGAGGACTTCAGAGATCTGCAGGGAGTTGCACGAAGATGAACGGTGGTGATCACATCATAGGTACTGGGTAGGATGGGGTGCTGCTCCAGCATACCTGCTTGCTGCTTCTGTGAACAGCAATGGCAAGTCTGAGGCTCTCCATACTTAATCCCTCGCTCCATCTGCTTCTTTCTAAATGAACTCTCCTTTCTTTTGCCATTCTCCATTCCATATTGGGCATTTCACGGTCATTTCATTTCAGATCCGGAATTTTTCACAGCCCTTTCATTTCCCTTCTTCACCTCTCCAAATGCCACTAGTCTGTAGGTTCCCTCACCCATCAGTGAGAACAGACAGGAGATCTTCTCATTCTTAAAGGTTTGATTTATTAAGCATGGAAGCCAGTGTAAAAATCTGCAGAAAAGCATATACTGATTCCACACAGTAACTTCCACAGCAACGTCACAAATTTTGTAAGGAATACTATTTCAATCTATTGCTCAGTTGGAGCCGAGTTCAACTCACCACAGAAGCCTGCGGAAAAGACCACTCATGCTTTATAAACTTTAAAATCTTCATCTGAAATTTGTTCCAGAAACTGAACAGAAAATGTAACCTAATCCTGGTGATTTATCAGTTACGAGAAACACCAGTTTCATAAGCCTACCTCTCCTTGGCTCTAACGGAGCAATAGATTGAAACGGTATTCCTCACAAAATTTGTGACTTTGCTGTGGATGTTACTGTGTGGAATCAGCATATGCTTTGCTGGGTTCTACATTAGGATTCTGTGTTTTCAGGGGAAATGCAAATGTGTTTCAGAAAGTGCCATAAAACTCAGACTAAAAGAAAATTTTAGTGAGGTATCATGACTCAGAATTCTGAGTTAGATTTCTTTACTTTTTTTTAATTATATGATCAAAGAATGTGATTCTTTAGACTTTTAAGATTCTTTAATACTATTAAAACGTGTAGATAGTTTTTGAGAGGTACTTTCTTTTGGTTTTCATGCCAGAAGCTTTTATTATAAACCCTTTTCAAACATCATCTTGGCCTCAGTACGCAGCATTGCTACAAACTAACACTGATACTGCAAATCATTTTTTGAAATGGCTTTAGTCAGAACATAGTAATGCAATAGTTTGTCCATTGACTTGTACATACTCTGAAGATGTACTGAAGATGTATAACATCCCATTGCTTGTTGTTTTAAAAACATTTAAATGACTTCGAATGATTAATCTGTTTTAAAGCCTGACTGAATATCCTGGATTGAGAGAACAGAACTCAGTAACATTTAGCTGAAGCAGAAAGGAGTATTTGATGCACCAAACATGTAATTTACCAAAATTTAGTAGTGAACAAGGACTAGAGTTTAAGCTTCATTTGAAAAAAAAAAAAAAAAAAAGATTAACCTAATCAGTGGTATACTGGAGAGAGGGAGATGGGGAAGAATTGTCTTTTAATCCTTGATCTTGCAAAGGCTTCTGCTGAACTTTATGCTGTGCAGTTAATAAGGAACAAATTGTGTTCCCATATAAATTTATGTTAGAATTTAGTTTACATAGTGAATTCATATTTAATAAAGTAAAATACCGTGACCTACACTATCTTTTCAGCTATTTGAATAGATTTGTTCTGCATTCTCTTAAGTCTTGATTTATGTTATTTTTACTATATTACAACAACTTTTACAAATAATCATGATTTTCAGAGTTTATATAAACAAAATAAATACTACTTTTGGCAGGCTGTGCAAAGTAAATCTTAGTACAAATAATGTAACAAGAAAGAATACACACCAGATAAATAATTGATGGTATGATTGTGAAACCTCTCTTGTTCCACAGGAGTAATCCTATAGTTTTAGAATGCTCTCTAGTAGAAGTAATAGAATTCACGTAATTCTAAACTTTGTAATCTTGCCCTTAAGGATCATGTTTTCAGTATTATTTACTAGAAGCATGTACCGTGGGAAGATATTTGCGAAGTCTATGACAGAGTAACAGCTGAAGCTAAAAGGTCAACAAATTACTCAGTTTGGTATGGATGATGCCTGCGTCTGCAGACAGTGTAATTGTCTCAGAGTTTGCAAAGGTTAGACAACTGTTCTCTTTCGAGCTCGAAGGTTTGTACTTTTCAGAGCAGTTCCACATAAAAACAGTGAAAATGTCTTGCAAGTTAATACAGTCAACTTTGGAAATGCTGACAGTTTTAAAACCCAGGGGTTTTAGAGTTGTGTATTTTATCTTTGCTTCCAACTGTAAGCTTTTTCTGCACTGGAATTATGAAATACATCGATATGTAAGAATCAAACATTGTTCCTCAATGTTTGATCCTCAAGTCTGTTACGCATTGTATTCTCAATAAGAGCCATGAATGTCTTGAAGGACCATGTTCATGGTAATAAAAGTTTATAGCAATGTGAAGTTTTGCAGCAAAATTCTTTTACTTGGTCACATTTTTGCTGGAAATAATGAAGCACTTTGAGTAGGTTGTAAAATGGGTAGTTGTTTTCATAGGGAAAATGGTTATTCCAGATTTTTCACACTTACTTTCATTGCTCAACTGTCCCCTCTGTGATGTTCAGGAGAGATAGGTGAATTTTTTATGAGAAGTGATTAAAATTGGCTAATTTTGTCACCTCACCAGTCTTTGCTTGTAGGAATTCTGAGAGACGCTGATAGTTTTCTTGACTGTACTTAAAACTCAGTTATTTAGTGTGTCATGTCTGTGGATAAGTTTTGTTCTTTAACTTGCCTGAAAGCAGGTTATTTCAAGTCCTCCCAACATAAAGTTGACCCGTGCCCAGACAGAGTTTATTGTAAGAAGAATCAAAGTCGTGAAGTCTTTCTGAAGCTGTGTTAATTTTAGTGATTTGAAGGCTGTCTTATTCTCTGTTCAGTGCAAGATGAAAGCTACCTGATTGCGTGCGTAAAACAGTCAGAGTCTGCGCTGTAACACAATTGTGTTCTGATTACAAATTTGATGCACACTTTACAAAAATCCATTTCAATATACGCATGACATTTTCTGATTCAGTGACTGCATATTCATTTACTGTCACTCATAAATAATGAAAACAAGTGCTTTGCAAACATGGCTGAGCTTAAATATTATTGATATACAAATATGAATATAATGTTCTGCACAGTTTATGCAGCAGTCATTGACCAGATTTGTCTGATAAGCAGAGCACTAGGAAGCATAATTTTAAGCAAAGTGGTGTTTTATTTATATGTGTAATTACACAAATATTGTTTGTATCTTTTGTACAGAAATTTTTTAGCATTATAAAATAGTGACTACAAATTAAAAGAAACTTGCTGAAAGAACTAATTCCATTAAAAATCCATGCTGTAATGCTTTTTGGTGTTTAGAGTACAACTTTGATCTCTCGGTTTGTTCAAAAATTGCGTGGATCTTTGTGGCAGAAATCCGCTTCATCCAGCATCCAAATTTTCGGTTCTGGTCAGCTCTGTGCAGTATGAGCCTCTGCATATCATAGCAGCTGTTTCCGATTTGTTGTGCCAGAGCCTCTTAAAAATGCATCTTTCACAGTATCAGCACCTGATGACTTCACTGGAACTTAAACTCCTATTTTACATTGCAGAACTGGACTCTGATGCAACAGAAATAAACCACATGAGTTTTAAGTTGTCTTATCCTGACAGAAAAGAAAACTAGACATTGTGCAGAAACAAATAAAAATAAAGGTCTAGCTGTACAAATGTTACAATGGCATTAAAATGTGCCATAGTGATTCTCCGTCACAAGAAAACATGAAAGAATCATGGGATAAGAGAAGCAGTGAAAAGAATCTCGAGTAAATATGGCAATGTTTAAGAACATTTCATGGTCCTTAAGATGTCAGAAGATGGTCTATGAGATGACTGCAAACATCCAGCCCTTCACCCTTCTTGACAATTCATGTTTATTTTTAAAGACAATCAAGAGAGCAAAGAAAGTAGAAATGGAACTGTCAACCTTTAAGCTAATATTTTTGTTGGTTGGAAATTATAACAATTGTGGCAATGCCATTGTTTTTTCTTAAAAGGAGTTGTATATTCCTCCACTTGAAAAAAGTTGGTAAATACCGTCTAGAAAATCAATAGATGACAATTATGAAAATAGAATTAGATCTAGATGATAATTACTTTATCTGACTTGAGTATAGCTGAGACCTGTGCATGTTTTCATCTCATTTCTGAAGCTCACAAGATAATCACAGTATTTGAAGGTTTGGGAAGGGTTGACTGGATTGATAAGGGAGATGGGGAATGTTTTATATATTTTAGATTCACAATTTATTTTTAATTATTCTTTTCTTTTTCTGTAGGGATGCCCTCTGCTTCTTTATTAGTTTATTTGCTTTTAGCATTACTCATTCATTTCACATCTGGAGAAACAGAAGTGAAGTTCAGTGGGCAAACAGAATTTGTAGTTAATGAAACAAGTACAACTGTTATACGTCTTGTAATTGAGAGGACAGGGAAGCCTGCTAACATCACAGCAATTGTGTCGGTAAGAAACTACACCAGTTATATTCTCAGTACATATTAATATCTTTCTGAAGTTTTGAACGTTGCCTGTGGTTTTATCAAGCCAGTGAGAAGGAGGGTGATATTTCACGGGGACGATGCTTCACTTTGAAGAAGCAACACCCACTTTCTGTAACTGATTCCTGCTGGCTACATCAATGGTTTCAACATAACGGTATAAACGTCTTCTCAGGGGGCCAGCTCCTGCTGCTCACGTAGAAGTCCAAAATGATGTGCTTGTTTGATTTTGATTGTGGCTGTGAGTTCATACTGAAAATGTGGATATATATAGCGATTTTCCCTTTTCCAGGTTCTGCAATTCATAGAATCCTAGAATGGTTTAGATTGGAAGGCACCTTAAGGATAATCTAGTGCTAATCCCCCTGCCCTGGGCAGGGACACCTCCCACCAGCCCAGGTTGCTCCAAGCCCCGTCCAACCTGGCCTTGAACACCTCCAGGGATGGGGCAGCCACAGCTTTTTGGGCAACCTGCCCCAGGGGATCACCACCCTCATTGTGAAAAATTTCTTCCTAATATCTATTCTAAATCTCTCCTCTTCAAGTTTGAAACCACTCTCCCTCGTCCTATCACTACATGCCCTTGTAAAAAGTCCATCTCCAGCTTTCTTGTAGGCCCCCTTCAGATACTGGAAGGGGCTCTAAGGTGTCCCTGGAGCCTTCTCTTCTCCAGGCTGAACAACTCCAACTCTGTCAGCCTGTCCTCATATCAGAGGTGCTCCAGCCCTCTGATTATCTTCATGGCGCTCCTCTGGACTCACTCCAACAGGTCCATATCCTTCTTGTGTTGAGGGCTCCAGACCTGGATGCAATATTCCAGGTGAAGTCTCACAAGAGCAGAGTAGAGGGGCAGGATTACCTCCCTCACCCTGTTGGCCACACTTCTTTTTGATGCAGCGCAGGGTACCTTTGGCTTTCTGTGCTGCAAGTGCACGTTGCCAGCTCATGTGCAGCTCATCCACCAACAACCCCAAGTCCTTCTCCTCAGGGGTACTTTCAATCCATTATCCACTGCCCAGCCTGTATTTGTGCTTGGGATTGCCCTGACCCAGACGTAGGACCTTGCACTTGGCCTTGTTGAACTTTGTGAGGTTGGCTTGGGCCGACCTCTCCAGCCTGTCCAGGTCACGCTGAATCGCGACACAGCCTTCTGGTGTGTCAGCCACCTCTCCCAGTTCTGTGTCATCAACAAACTTGCTGATGGTACACTCCATCCCTTCATCCAGGTCATTGATGAACATATTGAACAGGACTGGACCCAGAACTGACCCCTGGGGAGCACCACTTGAACAAAGAATAGCTTTTTTCACAATGTTCACAATGAAGATTCAAACCTTCAGTGCCTGTGAGGATGGTCAGTTCAGGTGTGGCAGCTGTGCTGGTTCCGTTGCTTCCCTCCATTTAGTCTCAGCTTCCAGCTCTAAACTGAACCATAGTCTTGACAGTGCTGCCTTTGTAATCTCTCTTCTAACCATCTTACTTAGAGTAGAATCAGGGAGATTTTCATTTGTTGACAGAAATGAAAGCAGGGCTGGTCATTATAGAAGAATTCCTCTTGCCAACTTTGGCAATGACAATGTTAGTCTAGGTTAAATGCATAGGCTTCTTCTGGTCCCTAGAGTGAGACAGGATGGCAGAGGCCAGTTCGCTCTGAAGGTAAATTTAATTCAGGTAGGGTATTATGAGGTGTACAGATCTGTGCTGGGAATAGCTTTTCCATTAAAAAAACCCTGGTTATATGGTACATTATGCAAAACATACCCAGTTGCAAGGAAGGAAGTCATAAATGGTTCTGAATAAACTGTAGTGTTTGGTTTTGGTGATTTTTTTTTTGTTGTTTCCTGGTTACTCAGCATGGATACAAGGAGATATTATCTATACCTTCTGTCCAGAAATTAACTGTATGACAGCAGGGGAAATTGTGGGAAGAATTACGTGTAAAGAAGAGTGTATGAAGTCTGTTAAATGAGTCCAGAATAGTATTGTAGAAGACCGCGGAGGAAGAAGGAGGTGGCATTCAATTGTGTGTATTTATTGCAGATTGATGGAGAAAACACAGGAGACTTTTTTGACACATATGCAGCTGCATTTATACCCGATACAGAAACAAACCGAACAGTGTATATATCTGTGTGTGATGATGATCTTCCAGAGGCTGATGAGACATTCACATTTCACTTGACGCTAGCAGTAAGTCTCAGTTGTTCAACTTATCTGTTCCCCAGAAAACTGTGGGTAATCTGATGTAAATCAATGTTATTCCATAGATTCAACTGTAGTCATACTGCTGTGAGTCTGAATCCTGATAGGTAAGAACTAAAATTTGGGTAGTAGTCGGGATGGAGCTTACTGCTCTTTGGGAGGTTATGCCATTCCTGCGGGTGTCTCCGTGTGATGTTGCTGTGCAGTATTGACACAGTCTGGACCTGCAGCGGGGACTGCATTCGGCTGTGGACATTTGAAGGTGTACCAGAGCCCAGAAGAGTTAGATTGCAAAGAGGCTGTCCCCCTTTCCTCTCTTCCTGCATAGACTGTACCTGGAAGAGAGGGTGGAAGTAGCGAAAGAAAGAGAATGACTTCCAGTCCTCCGGAGACAGAGGGTAAATGAGACTTACCTAAAACCAAACATTTGTTTAAATACTTATCAATAAGTCTCTTGATACTGTTCTGTCTCGCATGAGTCGTGCTACAGGAGAGAAGCTCACATTCCTTTTTTTTTTTAGGTAACGGTTCATGACTAAATTTGTTGTCAGTTCAATAAAGATAAATTTTATGGTTTATTGCCAATTCTTACACATCCCAGGGGACATTTGCAGTCAATATAAAAATGTATATTTTCCCTTCCTTCTTCCTTTGAGTTGTAAATGTAGTAGCTCATTTTTACAACACTGTAAAGATTTTTTTCCTTTAGCTGGTATCTCAGTATAGTAGCTTCAAAGTTTCAGTTTTATACAAATGTTAGGAAAAAAAGAACAACTTGGGAGTTCCTTGCTGTGCTACACGCTTTGTGCCTGGTTCCCTCTTGCTATGGTGTCATTAATAGATGGCAAAACTGTGATTAATCATTTACAAAGTTTGTTTCAAGCACTTTGTTGTTGACTGTATAGAGTGTATTTCCTCAGTAATTAAGAATTATTTTGGTGCATTCTATTTCTTTAAATAATTTCCACTGTAATGTATAATAAAGAGACATACAATTTGTCATTGGCTAATATCGACTCTTAAAAGACAGTAAAATCAAAATGTGTATTTTTTGCCCATCACCATATTTAATATCTTATTTTGTTTTGTTGATTTTAGAAACCATCTGCAAGGATAAAGCTTGGCTCACCCAAATCTGTCACTGTAACAATTTTATCAAATGACAATGCCTTTGGAATAATTTCTTTTAACATGGTATGGCTTTTTATATTGTTTATGTCACAATTTTAGAAAGCATAAAGGTGAAATTTTCAAAGATACTGGTTAGTTGTTCAACTGACTCCCTTGAAAACTAATGCTGAGTTACATCTTTGAAAACATCTCTAGAGGTAATTCATACATATATACAACTTTAATACTTCTATGTGCTTGTAGCTGTTGAGACGTAGCCTGAGACCCTCACACTTGGATGAATATCTGTGCTGCTCATCGTAAATATAAAACTTCCAAAAAAATTGTTCAGTTTCACTGCCCCTCATCTATAGGTCAAGATATTAATATAGTATGGAAGAAGTGAAGAGTTAAAGATGTGGTTTTGAAATCTTGAGAATACTCACATTTTCCCATCTTTTGTGAGCAATTTTACACTTGATTCTAAACCTGAGAGATCACTACCACGGTATATGTCTTGAAATAACACCTTTGGTAATAAGACACTGTTATGACTCTAGTGGTGTGGAGGATATTTGCAGTAATACAGAGGTTGTGTTAGTATAAACAGAAGCTATACCTTATTGCCAACATTATGGCAATATAATTTTTGTAGACGACTTCCCTGAAAAAAGCACAAGAACATGAGAAGTTTTTAGCACCACAGTACCAAACCATGCTGGTCTCTGTATTGGTGTAATTCTTTGAAATCTTACACCTACAACAGTTTGAAAGACAGAGTCTGTTTACAGCTAGCTATCTAATAAATGACTTTTTAATGGAGAAAACCTATAATTAACGGGGCTAGGAGATCCTACAAATACCAGTGCTATTATGCCATTGCTTTATGTGTATTGACTATGTTAATTTACAAAACAACCCCCACCCTACTTGCATAACTTATGATAATGTTTTTTATCTGAAATCTTTCAAGCTTTTTATTAGCTGAACTAATTGGTTGCTAGGAAATGTATGCCATCAGTGGACTGGTTTACAGATTGGATTAACTTGTCTGTGGGAGTTTGGTATTTCTATGGCAACAGTTTCTTCCTTCTGCTGTGATATTTGATCTGTGCCTGATTGCCTGTCCCTTTTCTTCCTCATTAGTCTGCCTTAATCACGGTGAATGAGCCCAGGGGCAGAAATGAATTTGTGCCTCTCACTCTAATTAGGGAGAGGGGGACCTACGGGACCGTCATCGTAACTTTTGAGGTGAGTTTATCGAAAAGGCTTCATACCTCAATCTGTTGGATGAAACTGTGAAGCTATAACTTATGAAAGTGTTTATTAAAGTGGAAGAGGGGGAAAATACGTATATCTATTTTTGTTAAATCTGTTCCATAAAATGGAAAGATATTACCTGCCAAGTGAAAAATATTTTAATTGTCTGACTGTTCAATTTGAGGATAAATTAAGAGATGTTAGAGAAAGCGCTTTTCTTTATCATTTAGGAAGATATTTGAGACAGCTTTAGTTGGTATTACTAGAAAACAATGTCTATTAAGTGTGTAAGAAATGTCTTATTTAATATTTAATGAAATTTATATTTTACAAATAAATATCTGAATCTTTAATGCTTGTGCTAACTTTGAATGTGTATGTATGAGAACTCAGTATTTAGTGAAATTCTGTAAGACGAGTTTGAATCCCCAGAAACTAAACCACTCATGTTGAATATTTAGGCTGTTATTTATGTACTTGATTTGAATGTGACACAGTTATTGCCTTTATTGTGTTGGTTTTTTTCTTATCTAGCTCAGATTCTATTACATACTTTATACAGAAATGCTTTCATATGGATATTTCTTTATCATTTGTCTGGTCTTACACAGTATCAAGGGTATAATATAGACCTGTCAAAATCTGAAAAGATTTGTACTGGATTTTATTGCATACTAACTGTAGCATTTATAGTTAAAGTACAGAATGAGATTCTCTATGTAATTTATTGCAGATCTATTTGTTTTAAGGTCCGATAAATTTTACTATCTGCACAATTAATCATGTCCATCTCAGAGTGTAGTTTAAATACATATGTTGAAAGAAAATTTACAAGATTTTCTAAAAATAAAATCCCTATATTGCTTCTAAGTGGCTTCCTAGTCTTTTAGGTTTCACTTAGATGTAATATCCTTAATCTCACAAGTCAAGATAGAGGGGACACAAAACCAGTAACTGCTGTTATTTTGTCTTGGAACTTATTATGAAATATTAGTGTTTTAAATTAAATTAGAATGAATGTCCTTTCTGTCATGTGAGTCGGTTATACACCAGTAGATACCGAAGAGTCCTTATAGGCTTATATGGAAGTAGTTTTCTTCCTCTTTTTCTGGCAATATATAATTTTTTCAGAGTGGTTACTCTGGCTTACTCCATCTGCCTGAAAAGAAATTTTCACAACTGAATGTGTGTGCCTGTGTGCAGGACATGACTCAATAGACTGTCATTTGTTTTACACGTTGCACGCTGTATATTGATTATTATACTTGTACTAGGTTAGTATTCCTGTTTTATATATTTCTTATCCTAAACATCAATTCTTTGCAGATAGAAGATGGACCAAACCCAGCTGAGGAAGATTTACGTCCAGCTAGGGGAAATATTACATTTACCCCTGGAAAATCAATGCTGCTTTATAATTTAACAGTGCTTGATGATCAGGTATGAACAACCTGACTTATTTTTTGTTTTGAATATGTAGAAGGTTAACGACTGTTTTGGAGAGACCTATAGTAAGTCAAAAAAATCTTTGCATTAAATGAGGTTAAAAGTGCTTCTACTTAATAAAGTGATGTTAAGTTTTGGATCTATGAGCTCTCATTTTTACTCCTTCTAATGCTACCTTTGTAATTCTCATCAGTGAATATTTTCAGTTTCTGAATATATCCTGGCTGCTCGGGCTAGACCTGTTAGGTGCTGCTGCAGTACATATACAAATAATATGGAAATAAGGAAATGGAATAAGGAAAATATTATACTCTTTTTTCAGATGGAATACTGAGGTCCTTGTTGTATGGCCAAGGATGATGTTCTTGAACTAGATTTAAGTTTATCTATTAGACTGTCCTTTCCATACTTAACTTCCCTGTATTTATTTTGAAATGTGCTCTGCTTTTCCCTAATTATCTGCCTCGCCAATACAGGCTATGTTTGCATAATGAACTCAGGCTCTCCTTTTTGTCTTTATTAATTGTTTAGGCAAAAGGAACCCAATCATAACATTGCTTATATGATACATTGAGGAGTACATACTGGTGCCTGTGCAGCTCCTCTGCCTTCAGTTAACAATGCTGAAGAATCCAGTATATTCTTTGTTAACTTGATTGGCTTTCATTCATGGGAAGAGCAGACATGTTGTTTGCCACTAAAGAAAGAATATAACACACTGAACATCGACAGACAAAAGATAGATTGGAAAACTTTATATGTTTTTAGATAGATACGTGTCAGGGTAGAAACATATTTTAGAAAATACTTCTAAAAATAGATAAGATTCCTAATAGAAACAGTCAGTCTTGGGAAGAGCATGAACACTAGGTGATAATTAAAAATTGTCAATATTTAGATTGGTCTTAAAAAAACCCAACATTATATGTTGTGAGCCTTTCTTTCTATTTCACAGTAATCAAAACATATTATTCCACTTTTCAATTTGTAATTTTCATTTTTCTTTTCTGTTTTTGTTTTTTGTTTGTTTGTTTGGGTTGTTTTTCTTTTTTTTTAAATTTATAACAGGGATGAAAGGGAAAATAGAGGCACCAAAATAAGAAAACATGATATAGAAAAATTTAATGAGGAAATTCACAAGAAAATAGCAGAACAGTGCTTGTCTCGGAAGTGAAGAACTTTAAGCAATTTTTTGCATATTTCTGTTAGTTATAGAAAGTGGGCTTCCACATCTGTACTGATATTTTCAGTGCTAAGAGATTGTGTTGGGCTGGTGTATAGAAACATCTCTTTCAGATTAGATGTAATATTTCTGTGACTTATACACAGAATGAAATCTGTCGCCTTTTGGGGAGGATGTGGTGTTTTTTTATCCCTCTGAGAAACGCTGTGAACGTTCTGTTCCTCAAAGGTTGATCTGTACAGGTGTGGCTGGTCCACTCAGCCAAAGACTTTCACAGGTGTATGTGAATGATTAATTTTGTGTAAAAAACCTTTATTGGTGGTGATAATGATGGTGATGGAATTCACAAGAATCCAATGTTGGTCTCAGAACTTAGAGTTTTTCAGATCTAAAGTTAGGAAAAACAGTGAAACAAGTATTTTTCTGAATTGGGTGGCACTTTTCCCACAGAAATTAGGGGACTGCAGATCTGATCTCCAAACCATTACATTTATAGTACTTTTATTGTATAAATTTCCTTTTTTAGTGAGGAATAATGGAAACTTTGTTAAGAGAAAATGAAAGAGGCAAGGCAGCACTGGAGATCCTTTATGTTGTTGTCTTTGAAGTTTAACTGTATTTTTTATTGGTCAATCGATGCAATTATGAACTCCAAAATGTCCCATAATATGAGGTACTAAGACGTAAACTACAACAAGACATTTCGACTGTCTCTTAAATGTTTATTTTCATCTTGCAAGATGGAATATTAATTAGTGAACTGAGCAAAACGTGAGGTAGCATCTATTCTAATAAGGCAAAATAACTGTGTTGTATCTCAGTATAGGAGAGAGGTGACAGAGAACTTCTAGATCTCAGGTTGACAAAAAAAACTCCATCAGTCAAAAACTTTATGCAAGTTTAAGTGCTACGAGCAAAACAAAGGACAGAATTGGCATCAGCTATAAAGGCAGTTGCATAGCCAATGTCTTAGCCCGAGAAAAGTTTCTGAGGGTGGCCAATTAACAAAGAAGTGTGAAAGAGAAGAAATACTGGACAGCAGGCTTTTCAGAACTGTCTTAGCTTAGTAAACACAAGTGCCTGAAAAGGATTTGTCAACTTTATAAGAGAGTATTGCCATTAGCAAAAAATAAGTAATTTTGTCCTGGAACTCCTCTCAGAAGCAAATAATACTAGCTTCCAGGAGTCCACAGCAAGAATGAGATACAAAGATCATGAATAATTTTTAAAGATTTACTTTTTACCTACATGTGTTAAGAAAATACTCTTATTTTTCAGTTAAATAGGTTTAGCGGATCAAGATTTGGGCAATAAAATGTAACAATCTAAAGCAAAAATCTCATATTTAATTTCTGTAATTTATAAGCCATTCTTTATTGTCTTCTGCATCAGTTATTGGACAAGAAATAGCTAAAAGTAAAATGTAATTTTGAACAGCCATCTTGTAGAAATGCCAAAACCGCTTGTGAAGCACCAGAAGACACTTTCTCAGATCTGTGACAGAAATTTTCCCTGGGGATGTGGGTGTCTCTGAATGTAGGAAGTGTTCCTTTTCCAGGTGTATAGGAATGGATGGGCCAAGGTGGGTTTTGCCCGTAAGTTGTTCCTGCATTATCTCAAGCAAGCATAGAGGTTAATCAGTGTAAACATCAGAAAATCAAAATGTAAATCTAAATAACTGGGAGGAACACCTGTTTCCAAGTAGAGGTGGCTTCCAAAAGTAGATATTGGATGTCCTTGTAGTTTCAAGTTGGAAAGATCCAGCTTTTTCTGATTCTTGTCTAGTTTTTGTTTTGCTTTTGTTCGGCTTCCCACACTTTTTCATGTTGCCAGAGCACAGAAGTATGTTTTAGAAAGTGGAAACATTCAATTTTGAGAAGGGATTTTCAGCCAAAGTTAAAAGCAAGACTTCTGTCCTGTCTGTTTTATTATGGAATGCACTGTCAAGTTTGCATTGTTTCCCTTTTCTGCAAAATATGTAAAACATGTTTCTCAGTAAGAGTGTTCTGCCTGTATTTGAAATGTGACTTACACCCAGTTGCTAATGTTGTTTTTCCAGATACCTGAAAATGATGAGTTGTTTGTTGTTCATCTGAGGAACGTGGAGGGAGGGGCTGAAATCAACGACACAAAAAATTCTGTTCAGATTAATATTAAGAAAAATGACAGTCCTGTGCGTTTTGTTCAGAGCGCTTATATGGTGCCTGAGGAAGTTGATGTGGTAACAATTCAAGTGGTCCGTGGTAAGGACGTCAGTGGACAATTAATTGGACCTGATGAAGACGAAGTCTCTGTCAGTTATGCCATTGTAACTGGGAATTCAACAGCACATGCACAGCTTAATGTAGACTTCCTAGATCTACAGCCAAATACAACTATTGTCTTCCCACCTCTAGTTCATGAAAGGTACATGAAATTTAAAATCCTTGATGATGCCATACCAGAAATTGCTGAGACCTTTCAGATTATGCTTCTTAAGGACACTTTGCAGGGAGATGCTGTTTTGGTTAATCCATCTGTTGTTCACGTCACCATCCAACCGAATGATAAACCCTACGGAGTGCTATCAATCAACAGTATCCTGTTTGCTCAGACTGTTATCATTGATGAGGACCACGTTTCAAGGTACTACAGATCTTCAAATCTACTCTCTAGTCAGTTCAAGAGATTTGTTTGGCATTGTTAAGCATCTTTAGGATTTCACTGAAAATATTTATAAAATCACTGCTGAAAATTTAATGTAGAAATCACGTAGTGTGGTGTTATTATCAACTGTATCTGCAAGAAGTGGGAATATCTAATTATGCAGGAAGTATTTTAATATTTATGAACTGTATGTAAAAACTGTAAATATTTATTTGCATTGTCAGAATACTGAAAACCCCTTAATCTAAAGGCAGGATCAATGAAGTCATGATGCTGCCACACGCTAGTTCATACAAGGGGAAAACAGATTTCTGGCTCCCTTCCCTGTTACATCTTTGCATGTAGTATATATAAAATCAATCTCTGGTTCAAAAAAAAAGCTGTTGAGTGTATCCCATGAAATACTTACCTTAAACTTAAAAATAAGGTAGATATTTGTGATTTTACAGAGAGATTAAAATCAAAGCTCTGTACAAATTTTACAGGCAGGACTGAGACACAATATTGACAGTCTCAATAAAAAATGTCCACTGCTAGCTACTGATGGTAGTTCATCCCCAGAGAAACAGGTAATACATTAAGCTATTATGCTATGGAAAATTTAGAAAGAATATGTTACAGTATGTAGATCCCAGCACTTCAGTATTCATCTTTTCTTCTTATGCAGAGTAAAGAAATAAATCTTGCTTTCTAAATTTTTCTAAGTCAAGATTCCCAGGCTTTTTGTTGCAGTCATGTGCTTGTCAGGTGCAGGAACCATGACATTTCCAGTATCATAAATATTGATAACTTAATATTTCAGTCCAGAGGCAAATAGTTCATTCAGAATAATTTTTTAAATGTTCTTGCCTGACAACTATATCTTGATATAGTTTATAAAATGGTGTAGAAAGTTAATCAGGAAAAAGTTTTCTGAAATTTGACAAATATTTCTCAAGACAAATGTAAAACGTCAAATCTTCACTTCCTAGCATCTTCCTCACTGCAAACAAAATAAGTTCAAACAAATATCTTTAGAGACGTTACAGAGAACTCATGAATAAGCACTCTAAGAAAAGCCTTGCATGTGTGTTAAGATTTCACAGCCTTTAAGCCCTGGCTCAGATGGCAGTTGCAGCAGTTAACATTTATTCCATTGAAGTCAGTGTAAATCTTTGAGAGAATCGATAACTAAGCAAGCCGATATCAATTATAATTTTATATTGGGGTTTTTTATTTTCATTCAAAACCGTAGGTTTGAAGGGATCACAATTGTAAGAAATGGTGGAACACATGGAAATGTTTCCGTTACCTGGATTATAATCCGAAATAGCAGTGATCCCTCCCCTGTGACCGCAGACCTCATCCCAGAGAGCGGGGAGATATGTTTTGATCAAGGACAGATGCTGGTAACGCTCCCTCTGAACATTATTAATGATGATATGCCAGAAGAAGCAGAGCCCTATCTTCTGAAACTCTTGGCTCATACCATACAGGGAGGTGCAGAAGTCAGTGAACCATCTGAGGTAAGTTTGCTTCTAAAATTCTTTTGGAGAAGGTAACAATAGGTAATAATTAGGGACTTTACCAGTTTTGGTAACATTGGTTGTTTGGCCAAACTGGCAAAAGCGTTTGATCTTGAATATAAATCAAACAAATTAATCCTGAATATAATCTTAGTATGTAGAGCCATACCCAAAATTTTGGGGTTAGTATAGTATAGACCTTTTTGATGTGGTAGCGTTCATCTTAGATTATTCCCTGCATACATAGGATTGCATAAATGCTGTCTTGAGTGGCTGCTTGCTAAGAGAAGGCAGGAATGTTATTTTCACTTGCTCACTTGCTGTCTTAATGATTATTGGAATGTCTTACACAAAGTAACAGCTTCAGGAGGAGGGGTTGGTGATTAAGACTGTGACCTCTGAACTGTTAAATAAAGGCTGGTTAGCATTGCTGACAGTTCTGTGGCTCAAGTCCCTACTTTGTCTTTCTCAAAAAATGGTTGGAACGAACTTGGTGAATAA